AACTTCATGTGGTTCGCACAGGCCCGCCTCTGCAGCCTGTCAAGGTCTCTCAGGATGGCATCCCTTCCCTCCAGTGTGTTGACCCACCACACAGCTTGGTGTTGTCAGCAAACTTGCTGAGGGTGCACTCGATCCCACTTCCCGTGTTGCTGATGAAGATGTTAAGCAGCGCTGGTCCCAATACTGACCCCTGAGGAACACCACTCGTCACTGGTCTCCACTTGGACGTCGAGCCGTTGACCGCAACTCTGAGCATGACTGTCCAGCCAATTCCTTACCCACCAACTGATCCATCCATCAAATCCATGTCTCTCCAATTTAGAGAGAGGGTTGTTGTACGGGACAGTGTCAAATGCCTTGCACAAGTCCAGGTCAATGACATCAGTTGCTCTTCCCTTATCCACCAATGTTTAACCCCATCATAGGCGGCCACCAAATTTGTCAGGCACGGTTTGTCCTTAGTGAAGCCATGTTGGCTGTCACCAGTCACCTCCTTATTTCCCATGTGCCCGAGCAGTTTCCAGGAGGATCTGCTCTGCAATCCTGTGAGGCACAGAGGTGAGACTGACCGGCCTGTAGTTCCCCAGGTCTTCCTTTTTTCCCCTCTTAAAAACAGGGTTATGTTTCCCCTTTGGCAGTCAGTGGGAACTTCACCAGACTGCCGCAACCTTACATGGTTGAGATTGCATGGTGAAGATAACCCAGTGGTAATGGTGAAAGCTTTGTGGATGCATTTCCATGATTTCCAATGTGGTTCTTTTCTCTGCCGAGTCCTGTTGGGGAGCTCTTCAAGGAAACTTGTGAGGTGGCTGCAGGGAAGGAGCAAGCCGAGCAGAACTGGAAATGATTATGTGTATAGAAGAGATAGGGTGATTCCAGGAGTAAGATTTATTCCCTACATGTTGTACATCTCTCCTGGCTTCGAAGATTTCACCATTGCCAGAAAGTCCTGAGTTAACAATAATTGGGTCCTTCGGCTTTCTGCTGTTGATCATAAATAAGAGAGCTGTCATTCAAGTTCTTATGTATGAGATGTTTTCCCTTGCTCAATGAAGCAGCCAGCCTTGTTTCCAAGCAGTGTCAGAAAGACGTTGGCATGAAGTCTTCTGGCCCTCTCAGCAGCCCCTGTCCCTATTGACAGTGGAGTTGATCTCATTGTTGAATACCCTTTCTTTGCTCAGGCATCTTGTGATGATACAGGTTTCTAACTTGTTTGCCCCTGTCATTTGGGGGGGTGCGCGCACGTGTGTAAAGCTGCTGAATGAAGTTGACAGACTGTAATTAAGTGCTAGTGCGCTTACACCTTTGTAAGTTGTCATTCATACTGAATACTCAATGTTTGGGGGTTTTTTTAATGATTTATTCTCAGATAAGCTTAAAGTCAACTCAGTGCCTGAGCAGCCAAAGGAGGAGAAAGAAGTAGTCAAGCCTTCAGTTCCTGTAGCAGAACCAGAGTCATCCCCTAGTACTGCAGTAGAGAAACCTGGGAAGAAAACGGAGTCTGCTAGAAGTCAACAAAAGGACAAAAAAAGGTGGGCCGCGCCATTCAGGGTCCCTGTAATCTGTTAACACGCTTGTTGATGGCCTGCATGGAGCTGGCTGGTCACACAATGCTGGCTCACCTCCTGTTTCCAGCTACTAAATTGCATTAAACCTGGCTAAAATTATCTCTCTTGGAATTCTTTCCTAATATTTCTTTTCCATTTAGTGCTGTAGATGCCTCAGGGCCATTTATGCCATCGCAAATGGGAAGGGATGCGGTCCAGGTAGTCTTCAGTGGGAGGGGGTGGCTTTTCATGAGACAACCTCATACTGTGAGCAGACTTAGTATAGACCCTGCAGGCAATCTGTGGGGGCTGGCAGGAGCACCTGTACTGCAGGGAAGGTAGTATATTCCCAAGCTTATATGTACACAGCTTCCAGCACACAAAGTTCTGCTTGTTGATTTCCATAGCTAATGTACTGCTGCTTTCAATGCCGCTGGTTTACTTTGGGCTGAGATTCCAAGTAAATTTTAAGTTCAGCCCTTTGTGTTTAATCCAACCCAAACTGACAGAGACAAAAAATCATTACAGTCTGATGGCTCTCTGGTGGCCTATGAGTAATTAATTGGTGGTCTCAATCTGTTTCTAACTAAATAGGTAAGCGCACTGCCCAGCCCACCATCGCAGTTAGTACTAACTGGTCGTCTTATTGATAGTCTTATTCAAAAAGCCAAGGGCCTGGAAACTGCATGTTGGCAGTGTGGTGTTGGGAAGGCCACTTGGGCTGTACCAGCTCTATGAGGATACGTGGGCCTTTAGCCTCCAGGCTTGTTAGTTTGACACGTCTCGCCAACACTAAAAAGAAAGAAGCTATTTTATTTTTCCAGTAGTCTTTAAAAATGGCTCCAGGATTCTGAGACACTACCTCATAGTCAGTCAGTGGCAAGCAGTCTGTCAAAAGAGCTTCTGAGCGATGCTGTTGGGGACATTAGTGTTTGGGAGCCTGAGCTAGAGAGACAAGATCAGAAATGCGCTCTTGCCAGGTTGCTGTGGCCAAGCTAGGTGAGGTGCTGTGCAAAACGTTGAACTGCAGAGGGGCTAAAGAAATCCTCCTTGTTTTGGAGAACGGGGTATGGCTAAGGATGAGAGGCTTGAAAATGCTCGTGCACCTATGTCTGATTGTGTAGGTGAGCACGCTTCAGTGTATGTGATGCGCACGTGTTTTTGAGAGGTACACAGGTATTTGATTTCCTTGCTAGCAGTACTTCTATCAGGAATTTTCATGCACGCACAAAGGATAACGCATGTTTGTTTCTTTTTTCTCCTTTTTGTGGCAGTAAAATGAAGAGGGTGGACAAGTCGGATAATGAGGAAGAAAGAGATTCTGAAAATCTAAAGAAAAAGAGGAAGCGAATCAAACAACTTCAGTCTGACAGCAGTGATGAGGAAGGTAAAAAGATGTGTAAACAACCAGGCATGTAGGTCAGGGGCCTGATTTCGACAATATTACTATCCAAGGCTGTTGGTCAATGATTGAGGGAATAGTTTAGAGGACTAAAGACCATGCAAATGGCTGTAGCTTGAGCTTTCTGTGTATCTTGTGCTGCAAGCACTTGGGCATACAGTTGGGATGCCTCAGTCTTTCAGTCTTTGTTTTAGCTTAGCTCAGATCTGGCTGTCTCCTCACCAAGTGTGCTGCCAGTCACACTGATGTGTGGGAAGGAGGTTCTCAAATCTCTTGTGAAAGATATCACGCCTTCCAGAATTGTAAGACTGGTCATAACCAGTTTATTTGGTGAGTAAACACTCGCAAAGTGACCTCCCCCTCCCTGCTCCCAGGGTCAATTTTAGTATCTTTATTCTGTCTGTTTCTAGAAATGGTTTGGAAGACAGAATTGGAAGCAAGACTTCCAAAAAAATAATAATAATAAAAAAAGATAATAGAGAAACTGGAGGCAAAACAGTTGAGCCATATTCGATGCGACTCTGCGTCTCCTTGGTGGCTGTTGCCTTTGGTAGGAGTAGGATGCCCAGAACGTCGCAAGATTTGGGCTTATAATGAGGAACAGCAGGGCTGGATTCCAAAGAATTTGGATAATTGAGGTGACAAATGCCGTTCAATATAGATAACTGGAAAATAAGTTGGGATCGAGCTGGGGAGTATGTGCTAAATGAAACAGTCATCCAACAAGCTGATCAGGAAAAGAATTCGGGGATCATTATGGACAAATAATTGAAACCACCAGTTTGGTGTACAGCTCTAGTGAAAAAAGGTGAAACAGCAAATAGGTTGTATTAGCGAGGAGGTGGACTCCAGCAGGAGAACTGAAGCTGTTTGCTTATTTAGTGTGGCCAGCACATAAGAAGCAAACATGAAATGAAGACAATCTGTAATACAAGCTAGAGAGGCAAATACTGTTGGATATCTTAGCAGTCTCTGTGCCACCTTAGGCCTATTTTCATGGTTTCTCTTCATGTCAGTGATCTCTGTCATCAGGTATCTGTCACTTCTACTCAGACAGGATGATAAATCTCTCAGGAAGCTGTTCTTCATGATCAGCCTTAATTTCATCACATTCCTGTGTGCAGCTCCTTGTTTGGCCATAAAGAAAAAAAAATATATGCCCACACTCTTTGGTATTTACTTCTTTAAATGTTTGTAAGCTATTATCTGGTCTTTCCATTCACTCATCACTCAGCCTACTGACAAGCTGCGTTGCTTAGCTCTGAAGAGGGAAGATTGAAATCAGCCCGTTTAGCCACTTGAAGCGCCGCTCCTTGCTGGGCTGGAATCCCTCAGCTTGTCCGCTCTCTGCTAACGAACGCAGGCAGAAACAAGCCCTGTGTTTCAGGCATGTGGTAGGGCTGTGCGGAGAGGCTGCTCTTTGAAGCATGAAGGCTTGTTGGTTCAGTCTTCCTTGCGCTGCCATGAGTTGGGGACCCCCAGCCTGTGTTCATGACAGCAGTCTGAGCACACAGCAAGCAGAGAGGTGACTGCACACTCTGCTTTCCCTCTCTATTTCTAGAACTCTTCTCGTGTCCAGAGACCAAGAGCAGCGTCATAAGACTGTGATAAATTGAGCAGCACTTTCTATAGAGAGTTCTGCAGTCTCCTGCTTGCTGCAAACCCACTTTTGGTTTTGAATATTTGAGCTCTCCAAGTCTCTTGATGAATACCTGTGCTGAATAGTTAATGCCTTTGAATGTAGTGCCTTGTGTTTTCATTTATTCCAAGATGTGGTCCAGACTCCTGCCCTCAGTACATGCAGTCGCTCTGTTTAGTTGTTCTGCCTTGTTTCATTTGTGCTCTGAAGTGTGAGTTAACCAGATTTGTGATTAGAAACCATGGATCTGGTCCTCTGGTCAGGTTGGGAGCCCAGTTGTCTTATTAACCTCATTCTCAGTAGCTTTAGACATTGAAAACAGTGCAAGTAAGGCTACCCACCCACTCCTCTGTTAGGGAGGGTTGGCTTTTGGTTTATTCCTGTTTAACCTACTAGAGATATATGCAGAAAGTGTGGCTGTTTGGAGAATTTTCTTGTCACTGCCGTCGCTCCTCCTGCGTTGTAGTCCTCTTTGTTCTTTCCATTATGTCGAAAATCGGCTTTGTGTTGCGTATTAGAATTGTAAATTTATGCAAATTACAGCTCGTGTATACAAATTTGTATATTACTCAGATTAGCTTAGTACTATTGCCTCTTGCAAAAGGGAAAGATTAGAATCGAGAGAGCTTCTCTGCTTCCTTTTTACGCTAATAGCTGTCTAAACCACCCTGATGAGCTCTGCATTCAGCCGTTTGGTTCTGCTGCTTGCACTTCTAAATCCAACTGGATGAAAGAAGATAGATTTGAATTCTTTGAAATATTCATACTGAATCCAAACTGGTAATATTACATTCAATATTCAAGTATGAGAATGTAAGTTGGATAAAATGAATAATTTAAAAACCAAAAAAGTACAACAGCTGGACTTTGAGAGCATTTATCCTTGGAAAGTTTGGAAATGGGTTTCTCAAGAGAGCAGGGGCAGTTTTAATCAGCAGCATCAGTGAGCAAAATGAGGCCTGGAGTGACATTGTTCTCCGCTGCATCCCTGTGGCAGCCGGGAGGAAGGCGCCATATGCTGCACAGCATTTGGAAATCGCTGCCAGACAGGGCACGCTTCATCCGCCACCTGCGTAATTCACCCGCAGATGATCAAGGGGTAAGTTTTTAAATATGTAAAATGCAATATGGGAAGCTGCACCACCAGAGCAGATATCAAAGGCTAACAGTCTAGCTGCTGCTTATGCTAACGTGCCACGCTAACCTGGCTGACCTCTGCTCGAAACGAACAAGGAGGTGCTTGCACAGGCTGCTCCGCGCAGCTCGAGGAGGCACGGCCTCGGGCAGGGGTGCTAACCTTTCCTGGGGGTGCAGCTGCAGATACAAGGGGAGGCTTGTCTGCGGCCATTGCTGTGATTGAATGGTGTTCAGACAGGGCTCCACCTGTGTAACTGCTAGTAAAACCACTGCCCTTTTTTTTTTTTTTTTTCAGCCAGACTTAGCGACATTTTGTGGGTTTGAAACTAGGTCTGTACAACTGATGCGAAGCACTGTATGGGTGCTTTTATGTCGGGTCAAGTCTTTTGCGTTGTTCTATATTAGGCTGCTCTTAATATACTGAAATTAGCCCAAAGTAAGCTCTTCTTACACAAGTGTCAGCACATTGTACCAAGTTGAAAATACAGAGAGGGCATAAGGCACAATCCTCTCCATTTAAATGATTTTTCGTTAAAAAGTTATATTGGTATGAGGGTGCCTTAGTCACTGCAGGTTGTTTTGCTTCCAGTGCCAGAATAAACTACACAAGCGTGTCCACAGAGGACAGGAGGTTTTGGCAGCTTCAGCTATACCAACACAGGCAGCGTTTCGCAGTGTTGACAAGTGTTTTACAGCCACTTTGGAGAGTGATTTCAGTGGCACTGTAACCTACAAACTCTATCGGTTTCAGAGAGCCGCAGCAGAAGCACTAAAGCTTCTCACAGTTTTTCCAGGCAGGGTCAGAGCAAACCGAACAAAGCCAGGATTTACATCTTTGGTACATCCAATTGCCCAACTTGTATCCATTTCATGCAGCTGTTGCTGTTGAGTAAACTGTGGGCAGCAGCTAGAGGTTGACTCAGGAGTTATCACATGTCAGAGGGCTGTGTTGGCTAGAAGAGGATAATAAAATAATAGAGACGCAGCTTGATGGTAGTCCGAAACACTCTGACGTGGGGAGAAGGTGCCTTCTGCCTGCCAAAAGCTGGGAGAACTTGTTTGAAGGAGGCTGAAAAAAAGCCCACATTTTCCCCCAAGGAAGCACAGTGGAGTTGATGTGCTGAAAATACCTTCAGCAGGCTCGGCTTGAGCACAGCAGAGGCAGCAGGTTTTCCACCAGGCTGGTTTTCAGCCCTCTTAGCCTGTGCTCCCTTAAAAATTGATGTGGCCAGCCCGAGTAGTCTGTGAAGCAGGTTTGGTGCTGTGCAGTATATATGGGCGCTTCAGTCTGCAGTTGCTGTGAGACTATGATAAATACTGAGAATTTTGAGTTCCCCGCAGCTCCGCGGCTGCGGTCCCGGCTGCCCCAGCACTTAGCACCTTAGAGCAGATCCGTTGTTTGGTTTTATCTTTGCGCAGCTGCCAGACCCAGCTCTTTGGAGCAAGGTGAAATACCGAGTCATGTTATCCCACTCTGTTTGCATTTCTGCGCCTCGCTTACTGAAGTAGTTAGGAGGCTGAGTCCTTGTTTGAAGAATGTAATTTATTATTTAGCCTTGGCAGCCAACCACTGTTTCACTTGAGCCCTTCTTAACCTATGAAGGTCAGTTGGCCGCCTGCCTGGCACAGTCATAATTCTTAACACTGACCTAATCGGTTGGGACAGCTACGGATCCAGAATTTGTGTTACAATGACAGGATGAATGCAGTGCTACAGCCAGCAGAGCTGGGAAGAGAAGCCAAGCAGGCACTCTGTCCTTCTGTCCGGCGGTATCGTTGTTATTATTAAGCAATAGGTCAGATGAGGAGTTTCTTCCCCCACATTCCTCGCTCTCCCCCACATTTGAGGACTTGCATGGCAGTGTTTTTTACTTGGACTCAGCGAGGATTCCTTAAAGCCGTTTAAATTAGTCACAGTGCCTGCTGCGTGGTGCAAGGTGCTGCTCCTTCCCCTCTTGCCCTGCACTGATTTTTCTTCACCGTCACAGCTCTGTCCCTCTGCCAGCCCCACAGAAGAATGACCCTGGCTTTCTCTTGCGTCTGTAAGCCCTGCCAGTCTCACTAAGGCCCTGTTTGACATTGCTGGGAGAGGCTCCAGAGCTGGTTTTGTTCTGTACAAATTTGTGAAGGTGGCCTTGACCATTGCGGTCAGTTTTGGCTTTGAAAGGATTCTACTATCTGCATCCTTGCACCCAGAGGAGAGCAGCATAGATGATGAGAGAATGGGCTTAGTTTTTTGGGGTGGTTTGGTTTTTGTTTGTGGGGGGTTTTTTTGAATGAAAGATTGGGGTGTCCCTTAACAATATTTAGAGTGGGTAATAGTATGTTGCACTTAATTCTTGGATTAAGGTAGTTTCAAGCTAATAGCATTGACCCTTTGGGATGTGTAGCACCACTTGTTAAGCAATGACTGTTTTGAACAATGGGGACGAGGTAGAGAAACCAAAATCATCTGGTGATTTGGGAATATGTAGTCTTAAACCCTGACTCTTCCAATTTCTAAACAAATTAGTCCCTCTTTTTAATAAGCAAGTGAAATATATGGCTAAAACATACCAGGTTTTGTGCCTATTTGTAAAGTTTCATTTGATGGAACTAATTTTGGCTTACCAAAAATCCCAAATGCACTTCTCCCATCCTGTCCCACCCTCCACCATCCTTCTTTTGGGAACTGCAGTGCGTAGCACCTTAGCACAAGGTGAACCATTGGCTGGAGGCCGACCGCTTCAAATGATCTGTCCGGACTTGAATTAAACAAATCTGAGTTAGAGCTTGTAAACCTTGACCTGAATACAGGTTACACGCAATTGCGTGGAGTTAAATGAAATCATCTGAGACAAAAAGGTAGCTGCAAGGGAGCATTAACATCAAGATGTTCATCTTCTTAGCAGATGTCCCACTGTCCCCCACACCTGAGGAAGAGAAAGCTCCATCTCCACCTCCTATACCTGCCCTGAAAACTGAACTAGAGCCAACATCTACAGAGGTAAGATCATATTAAGGTGATTAACTTTGGCTTTATACGACTCGATGGGGATTGCCCAGCTGCTTTTCAGATGCTGGGGGAAGGTCCTGTTTGCCTGTCAAGTCCATCATGTCATCCTGCTTGGAAGAATCCACCATGTTCACTAACTCATTCATTTTCTAGACCATCAGTTAAACTCTACTTTTTCCGCTGCCATAGCACAGTTTTCCGTTTTCTTCTCTTTTTTTCCTCCTAATGGTTCTATGAATTCCCTCTGATTCCCTCTGAATCTTGGCCTCAGGAGTCAGGGCAGGGCCAGAAATGAAACCAGAGACTCTCAGTATTCAGCCTTGTACCGCACAGAAGCTGCTGCGTAAGAGAGGTGGGCTGCGATTGGCCAGAAGTTAACCTCTGAGCTGAGAAAATACGTATAGTCTTACTGAAAGTGCAGCTGTTTGTCGCAGCAGGAGTTCTGATGTCTTGTACACCTTGTTATTTCCTCATTTTTTTTGGAGGTATGATGGGACAACCCCAGTGCCACCTTCTCACATAACTAAACACATTTCAAAATGTCACGTGCGCCAAAAGAGGAATGTGCTCCCCCTGTGCTGGCAGACAGGAAAGCTTGCTGTCTCATTTAAGTTGTATTGTGTCTGTCTGAAACTTGTCCTGGTAGGATGGGGAGAATTGTGGCATTAGCAAAAATGAGACTAGGATATCCTGGGAAGGGACAGAATTAGTTATCAGATCGTGCTCTGCTTCATTAGAGAGACTAGATTTCACTCCTGGGGGCTGATACTTTTATGACTTGTACGTGCACAGGGTCTTAACTCTTGATTTCTCACAATCCTGCAATGTCCTTCAGGTTTCGACTGGAGGGAGGAAGAGGAAACGGAAGCGTGTGCTGAAATCCAAAATGTTTATTGACGAAGAAGAAGGCTGCATGGGTAAGACTAGTTGTCTCCTACACCTCAATGGAACTAACTTTATTGAAGATGTGTTGAAGGTTTTGACAGGTCAGCCTCTCCAGGCTTAGAAAGAGGTTCACAAAACCACTTTGTTACTCCACTTCAACCTCACGCTCCCAACCTGAGGTAACTGCCCTTTTGGTGAAGGCCTGGGTAGGGAGTCACGGAACTGTAGCTGAAACCTTATTCTTTTTTGATTAATCACAGATTTTCTTTTGGTTCTTCTCCCTTCTCTCCTGCCAGCATGAGCACCTCCTTCACTTGCTCTCCTCTCCAAAGATACAAGCTTTTAAAGATGATGCAGAGAGAGGTGTAGGTTTGGGGGTGAATTCTGGCTGGGATGAGTTGTTGGTTGGTTGGGTTTTTTTTTACCTTTGGGCGATAAATCCAGAGCTGTGCTGCAGAGCTTGATTATATGTTAATATAAACTTAAAGTATCCCAGATAAACAGGGAATAAGTTGGGGCTTAAATCTTTGAGAGGGTTCTTGTTTCTGATAAGGATGGCTCCGCTTTCAGGAGGGAAGAGAGTCTCTACAGATGCACTGAGAGCCAGATGCTTTGAATTCCAGCCTGGCTGGACACTGCTTCCTCCTGTGACCTGGAGAAAGCTGTGTGACACCACTGTACTTGTTTCCTCCTCTGTGTCCTGACATTGAAGTTGAGCTGTAGGAGTTCAGAATACTTTCTTTTAAAGGTTTTAAAAAAATAAGAGGGTGGAATGTGGTTTTTGTAGCGCTGTTGTCAGCTCAGTTGTATGGGATGCTTAACATTCTCCAGCCTTGCTGATCTGAGTAGATGTCAAGGGAGCTCAGCCAGTTCTAGGAGAAGATCTGTTGCCGTTGCACAGGTTTGGGGTTGTGCATAAGCGTAGATAGATACAGGCTTGCTTGGCCCAGATTTGGAGCTGCCTGGACGTGAGTCAGCTTGTGTCTGTTTGCACCTGTCTGTATAGTTGTATCTTATGTTTCCTATTAACTTTGTGTGTCTCCTTTAAAGAAATACAAAGCTAGCACTCAGCAACTGGCTGTGCTAGTAACTGAAATCTCCAGTACTGGATTTTTGTCAAAGAATTGGACTTGCGACTCCTTTGGCTAGTTGCGTTATGGGGTGTTTTGGTCTCCCATCCCAGATAGAACCATTAAAACACTTGGAAGGAAAATGGAACAAAAAAGCATTAGCTGGGGAGTTGAGTTGAACGAGATCTGCATCCAGAGCTCGCAGCAATGACTGTTCCGGGTTCAGCTTCCAGCAAAGAGTGCTCTGCTCTTTCTGTCCCGCCTTTGCCAAACGTACCAGGGTTGGGAAGATTGCCTTTCTTTCCCTTCCCTTCACCCCCAAGGGCTTCAGTAGTCTCTTGTGAAATCCAGACCTTTGGGTTTACAGTTTGTGTCCACTACCATTTTATGAAAAGGGATGTGCAGGCCCCTTGTTGTGACTTTGGGAGACAGATCCTCTAGGAAGGAGGGAGGGATGGACCTGGGATACTGAGGAACTGGGTAGGGAGGACGTGCTGCTTTCTGTACTAAAACCAGCCAGTCTGTTACACAGAACTTGCTGTCTGGTCATTGTCCAGTTTCTCTTCTCCCATCCCTTCCCCACACTTTCCATGCATGGACCTGATCATTTGAAGGCTAAATAACTTCCACATCTCCCAGGCTAATGTAAACCGTTGTTATTCTTTGAAATATAGGGGCATTTTCCCCTCCCCGTGCTTTTTTTTTTTTTTTTTTTTTTTAAACAAGGACTAGATTGTAGAGCTGTCAAATCTTAACATTAGGATTAGGCTGTACTTCACAATTTTAAGTGATTGTTTTCACAATAGCTGCAATAGCAAGGAATTGGTGTAAAAAAGCAAAACCAATTCAGGAATTAGCCCTGAGGGAAATTGAGCAATTAAAATATCTGTGGCGTTAAACATGAGGCGTGTGACCATGCATCAACTGGGACTTGATCAAGTGCCTGCTCTTAGCCTATAGCAGAGGGGAATTACTGAGGTTTAAGCTAGTGCATTTCTACCTTGCACTTCCTAAAGCTTGAAAGAACTCATTTGGACTTGTATATTGGAATATATATGTGTATGCTGTAGGTAAATTTGTCTTGCAGCACTGGTTTAAGTTAGAGCTCATGTAATTTGAGTTACTGTGACTTTGCGAGTCTGGCTGTGAGCTGAGCATCAGTAACTATCTATCTGTGTGCCCGTAGCTGCTGCAAATACAGAATTTTTAAGTTCAGCTGAGATCTCAGTAAAAGAAAGATGATCTAAGCTGTATTATCTTGCAGTTGGAGGGGATTATGTGCACACTTTCAGAGTTACCAAGAATTACTGACAGGGGTGACAATGTGATAACTTTTTAAAGCTCAGTAAGTGGCTGGGTCTGTTAAAGCTGCTCACTGAAAATCCAGTTGCCTCCAAAGGGAGGTTAGCTTGGGTTTACATTCCCTGTTTGAGCATCTGCTACCACTGCAGAGCAGGATTTCATACCATTCCTCTTCTCGGTTTCTGGTTACGTAGAAAACCTTATTTAATTTGATGCATTAATACAAGTGAAAGCCAATTTCCCAGAAGAAGGGAAGTTAGGACATCTGTTTAAAAGAATACAGTTGCTAAAGAAAAATGGCTTACTAGAAGAATACCAGAGCACTGCTGGGAAAGCTGATATAACAACATTTACTAGTATCTAACGATGGCTTTCATCAGTGGAGCTGACTTCAGTTTAATTTCCGTGAGCGTTGTTTTATATCCCTTAGCTTTCCATCACCGGACGCTGACAGCAGTGAGCTGGCAATCCCATTCAGTCATAGTCCTTGATTTCAGTCACGGGTTTAGTTTGGTTTTTTTTTAAGGGATTTCTTTATAATTGCCCTGCTTACCCACCTGTACAGAAAGAAGCTGCCCCCGAGATTTTGTGCTCCTTATCTCATCTGAGGTGTGCTATGTTTGCTTCATTTTTCTTTGGCCATCAGACATGCACGGTGCTGGTGAAGGAAGGCTGGGTCTGCCTCTGGGTTGTCTCGTCTGGATTTTAGGACAATCTGATTGCTTTGGCCCCTGTGGAAATCTGACCAAGTCAGAATGGTGGTTTTTAACCATAAAATAGAATCATAGAATGGTTTGGGTGGGCAGGGACCTCCCAGCCCACCCAGTGCCACCCCTGCCATGGGCAGGGACACCCTCCACTAGCCCAGCTTGCCCAAAGCCCCATCCAACCTGGCCTTCAACACTGCCAGGGAGCCAGGGGCAGCCACAGCTTCTCGGGGCAACCTGTGCCAGGGCCTCAGCACCCTCACAGGGAAGGATTTCTGCCTCACATCTCATCTCCATCTCCCTTCTTTTAGTTTAAACCCGTTTACCCCCTGTCCTATCACTACACTCCCTGATAAAGAGTTGCTCTCCAGCTTTCCTGTAGCCCCTTTAGGTACTGCAGGGCTGCACTAAGGTCTCCAATGATGTTCTGTCATCTAATGCTAATTCATAGCTTTCTGATGGCTGCTTGTCACCTTCTGCAAGACAAATCGATGGTCTTCAGCGCAGTTGGGCTTTGTTTCTAGAAGGCAGCAACACTCGAATAGGTTTGGAAAGGGAACCGTCCTCTCGAGGACCCTTCCCAGTGGGAAGCCATGGGCAGCTGCTGCTTAAGGAGTAGTTTAGCATTAGATTAGCAGTGGGAAGGCTGCAGTGGGGAGGTCTCTGGTACACAGGCTTAACCATCATCACATCTTTTCTTTTAACCAGTGACTGAGAAGGTTTATGAGAGTGAATCCTGTACAGATAGCGAAGATGACTTTACCAAGTCCAAGCCACCAGCTGCTCACAAACAGCCTGCGCTGCCTATGAAAAAAGAACCAAAGGAAGAAAGGAAGAACTTGAAGAAAGGGGCAGCTACTGCCAACAGAGCCAACAAACAGGTCTCCATCATGGGGTTTTTCCAGAAGAAATGAACTGGGTCTTTCTCTCGGTCCTCTTGGCAGCTTGGGAGCGTTGCTCTTTTTGTGTGGCTTTCTGAAAGCTGCTGCTGCGGCAGAGCACAACATGCAATCTTCAGTTACGTAAGATATCTTGCTTACTATGTAAGTAAGCCCTCTGGACTAGATTTTGTATCAGAGAAAAGTTTTATTTGTTACTGCAGTAATTTCAGTCGTCTTCACTAAGCAGTGTGGGAATCGCCAGCTAGAAGCAAAATCTAGAGGAACTCTTGAAAGACTGTTAATCTATTCACATGAAATTTTATTTTTTTAATACGGCCTTTCACCTGCTCAGTGCTGAAGGCCTGTTCCACAAGTGGTAAATGGACTAAATTAGGAGTCGAATTGCGGCGTTTCTTTTCCTCCCTCTTTTTACACCCCCAGGTCTCCAGATTGATCTAAACGTTCATGTTGGTTAGAAGCTGTAATGTAGCAGGTCTTCAGGCATACACACAAATATCGAACATCTGCTTCAGCTTTAACTGAATGAAATGAACTTAATTTTCCCCCTAAGACTGGTAAATAGTTTTTGCTCTGCCTTTCATAATCTTTTTTTGGACAAAGCAGTGCATATAAAATTCTCTTACTCTTTTCTTCCTTAAACATATCCTCTGTAAATTGCTCAGATGCCTAATTATAGATCGGGACACTGTTGGTGCTCTGTCTTTGCAAAAACATCTTTGAGGCTTCCCACACGATTGGCTCCGGTGTAATTGGGGGAAGGCTTTGCTGTTGTTGGGAAAGCAACTGTATCTTTAACCTTGAAAGTTAACGAGTCAAAGGGAAGGGTGTTCAGAGGGCACTTCTGATAACACCAGTCAGGTACCTGTTGTTGTTGCCCGTGAATAATTGCACGCTGGTTTTATAGGTTTCGGTTTGCCTGAAGTATTTTTTACAGGCATAAACCAGACAACGGAAGAGTTGTTTTCTAGGACATCTCGTCATCTGCCTGCTGAAGGAAGTGTGTCACAGCCAATGGCCCTGAGGAACCAGTTATTGGAGATGAATAAAGCACCGCAGTCCTGTTAATCAGAAATGAGCCGTCATTTTGAATGCCTTCTGGTTTTCTGGTGCTAAATTTGATAGGTATATGTAAAAGGCCAGGTTTTCTGGAGGATGGGTGCTGAGCGTTTCTGAAGCTTGGCCTGGTGAGGGCTCCCAAATGGGCAACTGATGTCATCAGTGGCTGTTTCTGAGTGGTGTTAGGCCAACGTACGTATGGATAAATATGTACGTATCAGTTTATAAACCGTTTGTGATTAGTAGAAGGATAGATAAAGTCTGAAGAATGTGAACCAAGAAAGAAATGTCTTCAGGCACCCAGATGAAAGTATTCCAACCTGTAGCCAGTAAAAGGGCCAACTGAGTGTATTTACGCAGTCATTCTGACCGAGAGGTCAGGTTGGTGACTGGAGAAATTTGAACATGCACCTAGTAGTGACCAACAGTTGACTAAATTGAAGTCATGTCGCCCTCGGCAGCTTGCACCCTCAGCAGCTATGGGAGGATCTACTTAAAACCTAAAAACCTACTTACAAGCACAGGCACAAACCCGGAGACATTTTTTGTCCTGGCTAGGTTCAGCTGCTCACTGCATGGATCAAGAGTAACCTCATAGCTCAGCGCCCTCCCCACGTCACTCCCCGTAAGTGTCAGGAACTTAAAATTGGACTTTCTAAATTGAAGTCTGATAGGGGAAGTAATGGGAAGATGGGTGAGGGAAGGCAGAAGTGGCACAGTGCTCACAGACATCCAAGCACAGAGCCTGCTGCATAGGCTGAAAAAGGTTTTGTGCCCTCATGGTATGTTTGGGAAAGAATGAACGACCTTGTTCTGACTTTTATGAAGAAAATGTAACTGTTGAAAAAAAAATTGCTGTAGTATTTCTGGTTTTCTTGGTAGAATTGAGGGTATTTTGAAAAGTAATAAGTAACAAACCTCATTAAATAAAGATTTTTTTCTTTTGTCCTTGCTATTCATTAAATGCTGTGCTACATCCTGATTTCCAGTGGTTGCTGTGACACTTGACCATGTGGAAGAATATCACTGGTGAAGTGGGTAAAGAGTTCTTCCATCAAAACCAGGGCTGGAAGCCTTAAGCTGAGCATTTTAGAGCATCTGAAATGTGGGTAAGAACATCTCAAACTATCAGGATCTGTACTGAATTGACCCCTTGAGTCTAATTTCTATGGCAGACGTTGACAGGACATGGTGTCCCAGTGCTCTTGCACCTCACCTCTACCGTGGTCTAGCTGGAGCTCACCGCTCCACCCCACTCCCTCTATAAGCAGATCAACGTCATACGCGACTTCCTCAGGAAAATGACTTAATGTCTGAAGAAGCAGGGCATAGGCGAACTTCAGACTTCCAAAAATCATGATCTAATACTCTCCCCTCCTGCATTTCACGGGCTGCCAGCCCCAGGGGGGCCTCAGGTCCCTGGATGCCCCCGTGGTGAGGCTGGAGCCGTCCCCAGGCACTGTGTGGGAGTGAGGAACGGGGCTGGGTCCCCGAGCTGCTGGTTAAAGGGAGAAGGTTCCCTCTTGCTTCCACAGGCGGATGTCACCCATTTGGCACCCGGTGGCTGGTCGGGGGCGAAATGTCTGGGACGTGGTGGTGGCTCTGTGCGGTTCCCAGCCAGGCAGCAGCTCTCGGAGCAAGGAGCGCATCTCCTGCCTCACAGTTGGCTCGAGACTCCCTCTTGATGATGCTCGGGATCCAGAACCTCGTCCTGGAGATACAGAAATCCTTCAGGGATTTCCTCTCTTCCCCCTGCATCTCCCAACCATGTTTACACCCGCAGGAGGGCAAGGCCTTAACAGAGGCACAGGGAGAGGAGGTTTGTTAATTTAATATTCTCTGCTAAACAGCACAATTTATAGTGCTGCTTTGCTCAGGCCCCTGTTGGCCGAGGTACCTGTGAACCGGCAGCTGCACGCGCCCTAGAAACACTGCTCCTAGGGATGAAAAATCCCAATCCCGTGTTCAGGAGATAGCTGAGCTGATTTACAGCCCTCCTTCCCACGGGGCAGAGCCTGCTCGGAAAAAACCCCTCTGCCTTTCCCGCTCCAGGGCTGCCTGGCCTTTATCTAGTTAAAAAAAACAAAACCAGGAGGGATCCAAGGAAGCACTGCTGGGTGCTAACGCAGGATAACAAGCAGCGAGCAGCGCGGCCGAGCTGGGTGTCCCGGTGGCGTGCGGGGAATTGTTTTGCTCTCGGAATAGGCAATGCAAGCTCGGCCGCAGATACCGGAGAGGGGAGCGTGGAGCAGCAGGGCCTTATAAGGAAGCAAAACACGGTGCCGGTGGAGGGGAGAGCGGGCGCTTGCCAGGGCTGTATGTCAGCGCCTCGCTTCTCCCCAGCTATGGGGAGCGGGCTGCAGCACCCCAGGATGTGGGTGCTGCTGGGCTGGATTCGGGGCACCCCCTACCACGTTGAAGTATGCTTTTGGTAGCAGCAGGTCACGGCATCTGTAGCCCTCAATGCCAAGACCCCTGTGGAAGCTCCACGGTGGCTCTCGCCCCAGCTGTCCCTCCCATGTGGTGGGACATTTAAAAAGCATTAAATTCAGTGGTTCAAACCAGCCCTCCACTATGCCATGCTGCTGGCTTTAGCTCGATATAGTTTGTTTTTTTCTCCCAAGGCACGTCGAGCTGAAGGACAAAGGGTTTGTGCACGTGATGCTGGGTGGACGGTGCCCTGTGTCTCTTCTGCTCTCCTGAAATCAGTCCCCCCCCCCGGGGGAAGGGTCTCACCCATCCTCTGTTGGAGGAAACAGCAAAGCTGCTCGTGGCCAGAGCCAGGGGCACAGGCTGCTGCGCCAGCATCCCTGTCCCAAGGAAACTGCTGCTAAATCAGCTGACAGTGGCTTCTCTGAGCCTTGGAAAAGCGCTGGAGACACCAGTGGTTCCAGCCCCTTAGGGCTCATGATGCTTTGAAGACCTAAACCATCTTCCCAGCACCAAGACCGGGTTGGATGAGGCTTTGGACAACGTGGTCTAGTGGAGGGTGTCCCTGCCCGCAGCAGGGGGTTGGAACTAGATGATCTTTAAGATGATCCCAACCCAAACCATTCTATGATTCTGTAATTCTATGATTCTCAGAGCTGCCTGTTCACCATCCGACAGCTGTGCAAGGGTAGAGGCAGGTGGCTGAGACAAATTCATGGTTAGAATTTGCTTGTACAGATGCTATTTCAGATATTTCAGTGGCTTCTTTTGAGAAGATGGAGATGGTTCTCCTGATCCCACTTGGCCAAGGGCCAGGGACTGGGTTGAAGGATGGGATTTAATGCAGAGCTGGGGAGAGGGCTGAAGTCCAAGAGTTTTGGACCCCCCCTCCATAAGAGACTCTTTAATCCTTGTCTCAGCCCCAAGTGTCACACCAGGACAGGGAAGAGCAGCCAGTGCTTGTCCCTGGACCAGGACGGGCCACCTTGACTTCTGACAAGGTCCAGTTTACCACCCATCCCTGGTCTCTGACTATTTTAAGGAAGGTTATGGGTGATTCTGCCTGAGTTCCTGTCCCCTGGCTGCTTTTAGCAGGACTTCTTCCAGGGTTGCTGGTGCCATTAGTTAATGTTTTCAGCCCATGTCCTACCAGGAAGTATGCACAAATTGCATGTCTTAATTCATGATTTGATTTTTTTTTTTTTTTTTAAAAGAAATTTCCCTTCTTAAACCACATCTTCTGCAGGTTTTGGAGGAGGGGGTTCAGCCTGGAAGCTGTCTCGAGCATCCCAAAAGCTCCTGGTTTGGAAACCAGCTACGCACCAGGGCAACTCACCTGTGGGAACCCTGAGCTCGAATTTTGGAGCTGGATCTCACATCAAAGTTGACCCTGCTGTGGAGCTTGGACCGGAGACCTCCAGGTGTCCCGTTGAGCATCCACCAGTCTGGAAGTTAAACCGGCAGCTGTGCAAAATCACGGCAATAATATTTAAGCCCCCTACGTGGTGTTGTCCGAGGTGGGGCTC